TCCGGACAATAGTGTTTCTCAATGACTTTGCTGAACCTGTAAGAAAAATAAATAAACCAAGCACAAACGATTCGAACCGCAAAATGTAACTCGACATATTGGAGAAACCTTGATAGTAAACAACACAATGGTTAAAGGTTGTCTTAATTTAAACAATTATAAACAGTTTTTTCTATTATACAGCTCTTGAGATGTACTGAATAGGCGAAAGAAGCATTCCACCCAGTTAAATGTGGAAATGAAATGAAATGAGCTTTACGTCCTACTTTGCTGCATTATGTGGAGCTAAATGTGGAATTTACCAATCATATCATCATTTAGTAGTTAGTTGATCAAATAGACTGTCACAAGTTTATTTCCCTGACAAAAAAAAAACGTACATTATGCGCACAAAGTTGTCTCGGTCAAAATAAAATATTCCACAATGCTCACACCTTGCACGTTATTTCAAGATTAAGCTATCAGTTTTTGCTTGGCGTTATTCACAAATGCTTAGACCTTTGTAAATCGCCACCACAAGTCACTGTTGACTCTTGGTGGTCATCGTTGTGTTTTCTTCGACCAACAGCCGAGGTGGAAGAGCAGCTAAATGTTTGACATTAGTGGACTTTTGCGATTAATTTTAGTGCATAAACATTCTGCTAGGTGTCGTAGTAAACTGGAGTCAAGTGAAGTCAGAGTTCATCAGCTTAGCCGACCTAACCGCTGTTTTTTCCGCCATGCTGGTCACGGTAATCACACCGATTTGCTTACAGGTCTACAAACACTGGTAGTCCTTAATGGTTGAAGTCAATCAATGAGGCGAATCTTAACAAGTATTCGCTCCTGTCGAGCTCAGTTGCAAACTTCTCCCAGTATGCCGTTGGAACCGATGTGGGCCCAATCCCACTCTGTAAAAGACACATTCTCGAATTGAATACTTACCGTTGTACGAGCCAGGTATTTTTAAATGTTTACTGAAATATATTGAGTTGTAGAAAGTTTCATGTGGATGTAAAGCCGGTTTCAATCGTTCAGCAAACTCCAATGCCTCTGGTGCAGTTCTAAGAAATTCGATGAACTTCCGGTTAGCCACAATATGCTGCGAGCCTTTCATAAACGTAAATCCAGTTACGTTACCTATTCTCGACATTCGGTACTTCCACATAACGGATCTGTAACAAAACAAATATCGTATAAATAAATTCTGAAACCAATTTCTTCACAATATCAAGCTATTTAGAACTTTACTGCAAAAACCATCTTTCTTGTATTACAAAAGCTTGTAAATGTAGCCATTTAATTAGATTGTATGCTAGCGAATACAGCCAATCATAGCCTCGATTACACGCGAAGCAAAATTGTTTACAGTTTTTGTGTCGAGGGCACTGATTGGCTGTATTCGCTAGCGGACAATCAAATAACAAGTTTTACAAGAAAGGTCGTTATTGCAGTGACTTGACTGATTAATTTCATAGTTCAAGGGAGGTAACTGATATATAATATTGCTATATTGTTTAACAGTTTAAGTCATATTATGATTACCAAGCAAATTTGGGTAAATATTTGACTGGGTTTATCAATTCATCAAATAGCTACGAAACCGGATTCACAGGTAAGTTACAAATACATATTCCGTTCTCAATATAAAAAAAAACTGTTGATATCAGCAAGCGGATACCGACAGCTCCACTGTATTGATATTTTGGAATGCTCATTATGTCGGTTAAAAATTAACCGATGGCTCTGTTGACAAATTGTCCCAGTAGTAAGGTAGGACATTCTCAATATGACAGAATGGCTACCCTGCGACTGGGTTTGTCAACTCGGCACCCATTTCGGGAAGAGTCCACATAACACAATATTTAGTTCAACACCGTTACGCAAAACTGTCAAGCTTTAATATTGTTATGAAAGAATTACCCGAAAGGAAATCCTACGACTAAGCTAGCACCGTTAAATGCTTTCAATATAGTAACCAGTTCCAAATTTGTCTTCAACGGAAACTCGGAACCGGCTAGATTGATGAAGTATTTCCAGTCGAATTTCAATGCATCGTCCATACAATTTAAATCTGCTTGAAACACAGAATATTGTCCCCATGTTACCTTCACTAAACGGGAAGTTACATGTACATTATCAAAACAATTTGTTATATCAGACACAGCTTTCAGTAGAGATTTGGGAGCTTTGGCATCAACGTGTATAAAGTAGAAGTTACTCGGTCGATAAATAGCTCTTAAAAGTCTTTCCAACAACTCTATTTCTTCGTGCATCAAAATTCCAA